TACTGGATAAAGTCAAAGATGCAAATAATGGTAATCTGCAACTAAGGAACAAAGAAGTGATATGGGAAGTATTGGAAGGAGAAGTGGAAAAGGGAGCATTAAAAAAAATCATGGAAGATCAGCAAGAATCCCTGAACAAATGGAAGTCAAAAGGTCGCAAATTTAAAGGAAAAGGAAAGGGAAATAAAGTCGCCCAGGCTGGTTCTACTAAAGGAAAAGTACAGTTTCAGGGCAAGAAAACAAAATTTGGTAGTGATGATGAATGTGAGGAAAATGGTGCAGCTGGTACATTGAAAAGAGCAAGAGAAGAAACCGGAAGAGAGGAACCTGCATCAAAACAACAGAAAACAGAAAATGGCACAGGGGACCAGTAGTTAAATATATATTAATTAGCTTTTAAAAAGAAAAAAAAAAGAATATGTTACAGTTATACCAGAAGTTATACTGAATCCAAAATTTCCACTATCAACTTGTTTTTCTACTGAAGAATTTATTTTATGCTATATTTGATTTTTAGTCAATATTTACAAATAAATAAACTTTATCAAATCAAGTCATCCTACAATAACACAATCTAGTTAATGTGATACGGGTTTTTTTTCTTTTAAAAAAATTTTATTAATTTTAATCAACATTTACAGAGATTTTGGATTTTCATTCATCCATTGTTGCACTTTTCTCCTTGCCCAGCCCTCCCCCCCAACTCAGTTCACTCTTCTTTTTTTTTAAATTTAATTAAGTTTGTTTATTTTTCATTTCAATGAACATCTACAGAGATTTTGGAATTCCAGTTTTCTAGATTGTTTTCGTTGTTGTTATGTGCTGCAGGTTGCTTGTGACTCATACCGACCCTCTGTACAACAGCTCTGAATCCTATTCTATCTTTAGCCAACCCCATTATCTCTGACACACCTACCCCCATTATGCCAGCTATTGAATCAATCCATCTTATCAAGGGTTTTCCTCTCTTGTGCTGTCTCTCCACCCTGAGAAGCATGATGTCCTTCTCCAAGGACTGGTCCATCCTTGCAACATGCCCAGAGTATGCCAGACAGCTTCAGAATCCTTGCCTCCAAGGAGCAGCCTGGTTCCACCTTCACCGTGATACACCTGTTTGTTCTCTTAGCAGCCCATGGCTTAGTCAATACTCTTTTACAACACCACAGCTTAAAGGCATCAATTTTTTCTTCTACCACTAAGTCACTGTTCAGCTTTCCAATGAACAGCAAGTAACTGAGAAGACCATGACTAGATCAGATGCATGTCTGGATTCGTTTCCAGATTGACATTATTGCTCTCTGAAAGCAGATATTCCCAGTGAAAGTCGTTTTTTAATATCCTGGCTGCTGGTACCAGGAGTGTTGATTGTGGAGACAAGCAAGATGAAGCTGTCAACAATCTCAATCTCTTCACCATCTATCATTATGCTGCCAATCGGTTCAGTGATGAGAATCTTTGTTTTCCTGATGTTGAGCTTCAATCAGTATTGATGGCTGCAGTCCTTGACCTTCTTCAGCAAATGCCTCAGGTCTTCCTCACATGTTATAGCACATATATGTTTAAGAGATATATTTATGTATTGGTAAAATGTAAGCATTCAAATTTATATGACAATCTCAAAGTTTTAAAGAATCTAATGCAATCAGAATTCATATACTCTATGCCAATAAGAAACAACATGATAGATGGAGAAAATAGAAATGATAAACTATTTCATCTTGTTTGGAGTCACAATCAACACCCTTGGCATCATCAGCTAAGAAATTAAAAGATGCATTGCATTGAGATATTCTGATGTCAGGAAACTCTCCAAGGTATTGAAAAGCAAGGACGTCAATTTGAAGATTAAGATGTACCCAATGGAAAGAAAAAACATATCTGATCCAAAACTGAAAGTTAGACAGTGATTAAGAATGAAAGAAGAAGAAATGATAACTTTTATTTGTGGCATTGAAGAAGAGTGCTGAATAATCATCACTGCCAAAAGTACAAACACATAAGTTTTACAAAAGGTACAGACCTGGCCTCCTTGAAAGTAAGGATAATGAAAATTTGTCTTGCTTTAGGCATGTTGTTAGGAGAGGTTAGTCCTTGGGAAGGCCTATGATGCTTAGAAAGGTCTTTGAAGGAGGGAAAGACTCACAATGAAATGGATTTACACAGTGATTAATTACAGTAAACTCAAGTATACCAGCGATGGTCAGAATGGCGCAGAATAGAGCATGGTTTATAACCATTGTTCATGGTCAACTCGATAGTACTTAAAAATAACATTAGCATATATCTTTGGCATATGTATCCCTTTTCTCACTTACTCTGGATACTAATGGGGGAGCATATAATAAAAAATATTACTTTCAAAAGAGTAATAATATCAACTGTATAAGAATCAAGAATATAGTAGAGTAGTCCAATAAACTTAATTTTGAAGTAATTTATGACAATCTGAAAACTCATTTACCTTTCATTTGTATAAAAAATAGAATTATTGTTCTTGATGTATGAATAATCATACATAAGATGCAGATGATAAATCACCATCCTGTTACCTACTTATAATTTAAATTTCTAGTGGAAAGGAAAGTTGCTCGTTTATATTTTAAGGTTGTTTTTAACAGTCAGTAATGATAAGTGAAGATACATAAGGTTGAGTGTAAAATCAATTAAATTTTTATTATATCTTTTTACAGCCATTTGTTCACATTTATACTTTGCTAATAATAAGAGAATAAATAAAAGAGAGGAAAATACCGAGGATGATCAGAAAAGGTATTATATAGTTCTTTCTGTGAAAGTATAGAATCATTTCACTTTTCAGTTGGCTCTGGTCTCTAGTTTTCATTCTTAAATTTGACATTATCTAATTGAATCAATGTCATTTGAAAATTAAGGGTTAGAAAATTGGTTGCTAGAATACATTCATGGGTTAATTGAAAACTTTAGCAAAAATTCAAAACTGGACTAATCAAAATAACTAACAGCAGCAGGGGAAAGTTCTCATGTGTAGCAAAGTAGCATATAAAACTGTGCCTCCATATAGGAAACAGTCATATGTAAAGTCC